TTCCAAAAGAAGGCTAAGAGCCACGGAAAGAGTAAAGCTAAGAGCCACGAAAAGAGTGATATGGTAATTGTTGGAAAGAGTTCCATCGAAAGGAAGCGTTCCAAGAGCAAGGGCAAGAGGAAAGTGACAAGCGTTATCATTGAATCTAAGCCTAAGTCCAAAAAGGAAGAGAGTTATTTCTGTCATGTCATTGGGCATTGGTACAAAAATTGTTGACTCTACCTAGAAGATCAAGAGACGAAGAAGTTTATAGAAGCATCGACTTCTGGTGTCTTCGTTATAGAGACTAACTTGTTTACTTCCACGTCGTGGGTATTGGATACCGGAAGTGCCTCGCACATTTGTGGAAATGTGCAAGGGTTGCGAGGAAGTAGACAGAGCAAAAGGAGAAGTAGATCTCCGCGTTGAGAATGGAGCAAAGGTTGTTGCATTAGCCATCGGGACTTACGATCTGACTTTACCTTCTGGACATGTATTGGAGTTGCATGATTGCTATTATGTTCCTACCGTTAGCAAGAACATTATGTCGATTTCATGCTTAGACTCGGATGGTTTCAGATTTGTTATTGAGAACAAATGTCTGTCCATTTATAGAGGTGATTTGGTAAAGGTTACAGTTTAATGGCCTTTATGTTTTGGATGATGAACCGTCAAGATACAAGTCAATCTATAACGTTTATACCAAACGGTTTAAGCCGAATGACGTAAACCCGACCTTCCTCTGGCATTGTCATCTAGGCCATATAAACGAGAAGCGCATTCAGAAGCTTCATTCTGAAGGTTTTCTGGATTCATTTGACTTTGAATCTCTTGAATCTTGCGAGTCTTGTTTGATGGGCAAGATCAACATCCTTTCAAAGGGAAAGGACAGAGAGTGACAAAGTTATTGGATCTCATACATAGTGATGTATGCGGACCAATGAGTTGTCCAGCTAGAGGAGGTTATCTGTATTTCGTTACGTTCACTGATGATATCCCTTTCGAAACCACACTTAGATCAAGCATCTACTTTCAAGCTATGAGAACCACCATTTCTCTATCTTGTCTCACCAAGATAATGCGCCACACCTAGCTTTGGCATGATCCATGACACGTACGATCGAGGCCTTGACAAGTGCTTTACTCGTATAGCTCCTAGATCTAACCGGTTTCTGTGCAACGATTGTACATAATCCGAATAGACCATCCATTCAATTATGTAATCCCAATCCCGAAGCTCCCACTCAATCAAGCATATCTAATATCTTGATTAAATTGCATGCATTCATTCATTATGTACCATCCAAACGAACGAATCATGCTCTTCTGAATCACAGTTGATCGGTTAAGCAACAATTGCTCAAACCAGATATCTAAACGAAGAACCAAAAATTTTGGTCTTACATCGGGATGTGGACCGATCGGTCTACGCAATCCGGTCTGATCGGTCTTGGCCTAGACCGATCGGTCCACACGTGGACCGGTCGGTCCAACCAACTCTGAGAAACCCTAGACCGATCGGTCCAGAGGACCAGATCAATCGGTCTAGACGAAAACGTGATCAGATCTCGTTTTCGTCGTTTCTACCCCGTTTCAGACCCGAATTTGACCCGGTTTTCGCCTGCGAACTCAGAATTCGAACCTCTTGCAATTATGTAATAATGAACAGAAAATATACTCTAGATCCATAATCAAATCATGCATAGCATCAAAACAAACACGGATTCAAACGATTCAAATCCTATAACGTTCGTGATCGGGTTCTAACAAAATCATACAAAGAAAACCAGGCTCTGATACCACTGATGGAATTCCTGGGATCACTACAGCGAATCTAATTCCTAAGAGATCAGTTCTAGGGTTTGCGCAGCGGATGTAAAACAAAAATTTTATAAAACCCTAAAACCTATCATGCATGATCTTGTAGAAACGTTAGAACGCTTACCTCAATCGATCTGGGGCATGTATCAATTGATGTGTTCGTTCGATCACTGTAGGCAGGAAGAATACCTCATCCTTTACACGTATCCACACAGCGGAAAGGATTCCAACGGTTGGAACTCGTCTGCTAGGACTGAAGAATACGTTCTTCTTTGCGCAAGGGTTTCAGGGATCTAACTCTTAGGTTTTCAACTCTCAAAACCTCTCAATAGGGTCTGAAAGTCGTGCCAAAGAGATTAGGAGGCGTTCCCCAAAGTTCCTTAACCTTAAAACCCTAATTTGGGCGAGTTAATGAAATCCCGACATTTGGACCGATCGGTCTGGAATATTTTCCGGACCGAGCAACTTTTGCACGTTACCTCTGGACCGATCGGTCTGGGCCTACTGGACCGATCGATCCAGACCTTCTAGACCAGTCGGTTTGGCCTCTGCTCCACTGGGAAATTCTCGTCTTTTCTCGCGCGTTTGTCCTTTCCTGTGCGTGTGACCCTGTAGGTATTGAGGTTATCTACGGATTCCTAGCATGCGATCATATCGATCTAGGGTTTGGTTTACTAGGTTTCATGCAGCGGAAGAAAGATCTAAACCTAGTCAAACGTCACACGCAACCAAACTCGCAAAACCCGAAAGATCGTGTATATCACCGAGGGAATCGTTACTTACCTCGTTCTCGATGAGACTTAAAGTTTATTTCGATCCTGGGCCTGTTCTAAATCACCTAGGACTGAAGTTACAGTCCCTCTACACGTATCCACACCGACGGGAAGGATTCCAAACGATTTGGAACGAATCTGCTAGGATTAGTGAAGAAAAGGGTAACTCAAGAGACGAGATCCAATCCCGGGACAGTAGAAATCGAAGAGAACAGGTTCTCTAGGGTTCTTAGATGTTTCTCTGAGTTTTAGGTCGGCTCTTTTTTTAAGTTTGGACGAAATCCCAAACTTAAATAAGATTAGAAAACTCTAAAAACGAATTTTGGAAATTTTCCGGATCCCGGTCCGCTAGACCAGGAGCTTGGTCCGGCGGACCAGGCTTACTCAGCTGCCCTCGGACCGTCTGACCTGGTGCCTTGGTCCAGCTGACCAAGATTGGTCAGCTCCGGACCAAGTCTCCTGGTCTTCTTTCGGTCCGCCTGTTCGCTCCTCGGTCCGCCTGACTCCAGCGCCTGGTCCGGGGCTGACCAACTCTTGGTCAGCCGGACCAGACGTGGATAGATGACCTCGGACTGAGCTTCCGGACTGCCTGATCTGACCAACTTGGTCCGGGGTTGACCAAACTTGGTCAGCTCCGGACCAACGCACTGAAAACTCCTTTTCGTGCTCGTTTCGATCAAATCTCGTTTCTATTCTTCGGATTCTTCACGTATAAGTCCATCCCTATTGGTGTGTGACCCTGTAGGCCCATTCTAAGTGGTAGTGACTTTAGGAACCTTTCCCGAACAACAAGTCATGGTTAGCCTCTAGCAAGACGCCATGACCACCCACTTAGAATTGAGTTAGAGGTGATCTAACCAAGGCATTAACAGCTCGAATTCTGATCCTTTGTCTCACGATATCATATGTTGAACAAGGGCATGGTTTGAGCCACCCTTCAAGTTCAACCGCTTTCTCGTCTTGGTAAATCGACTAGTAAAATAGATGCAACTTCATCTATAGCGCGGCCACGCGTTTTCATAGTCCGATTTCCACGAGAGGGCCCAGCGATATCTCTCCTATTAAGGAGGTGACAAGTCCCATATTGTATGTCTACTATCTCCATATGATTCGTGAACGTATCTGATCAACGCTGTTATAATCATCCGGTTAAAGACGACGTTTGACGCAGTCAAGACACGCCACTCCTCATATCAGATACTCTAGACATCTCAGGTGTGAGGATCCATAAACGAACCGCTGTATGAGATTCAAGTCATGACTCTGTCCATGTGACAATCTCATGCGGGTCATCCAGTCACTCGTTCACAACGAGTACCCATGATTGTGATCTACATCCAATGCGTTGATCACACCTCATGCTAGTCTTGATTCAACATTGTTCCCACAATGATGACTGACTAGGGAGTTTAGAATCATTCTCTAATGATTCAAGGATGCCGAAATACAACAAACATGCTAATCGTATAACGGATAAATAATGCATTCATAAATCAATGAATCAATACAAAGTAAAATGTCATATCATGGATCATCCTAGAGCATTACAACCAACAGTAGGCTCATCCAATATAGCAGTATAACCCGAAATTTTCATTTTGGTTATACAAGTCATAGGCGGTCTCTAGCAAGACACTATGACTACCTATCTCGAATAGAGTTTGTTCGTGATCTTACGAACGCCAGTGATGATTCCATTTGATGATCCTTTTGTATCACGATATCATATGTCCAACATAAGGCATGGACAAGCCACCTTATCTGATTCGACTGCTTTCTCGTTCACTGAGTTTGACTGTGTGAAATAGACGACGTTCGGCTATAGTGAGGCTACACATTTCTACAGTCTCGCTCACACGAGGGGCCCAGCGATATCTCTCTCTTTTACGAGAGGTACAAATCTCGTCTCTTGACTATCTACAATCCAGCACATGATTCGTTTCGTACCTGATACACGCCTTTATAGTCCTCCTGTTATGCAGGACGTTTAACGTATTCTAAGTACGCAACTCCTCATGTTGGATTCCGTAGATATCTCAGGTCTTAGGATCCAATCATGGAACTGTCATATGAGATTCTAGTCATGACGCAAGTCCATGTGACAATTTCATGCGGGTCAATCCAATATTCCGTTCTCCAACGAATACCTATGATTGTGATCGTATCCAATACATATGATCATCTATATGATCATCAATCACACATCATACTAGTCTTAGCATATCATTATTCTCATAATGATACATGACTAGGGAGTTTAGTATTGTTCATAACAATATATGGATTTCATAACATATCTAGTATCCACAATACGTAATGAATCAAACACTCATCCATAAACTCATAGAAAGTGTCAATACATCAAATGTATCTATATAACTAAAGCTCGCAAAAACAGTGCATCATATAACACTAAGCCAACAGATCAATATTTAGAAACGAAATAAAAACCGATCCGAAACTCGGTTTAAAAAAACAACAATGTGTTATTCCCTTCTCACAAATATGGAGTTCGGAAGAATTCACAAATTTATATAAAGACAAGTTCTTAGCTTTGATCAAACGGAATCCTATTCAATCACTATCTGTATACAAATTAACTTTTTAAATCCTCCAACAATTTAAATAATCAACTGTTAAAGAAAACCATTGTAATGAAAACCATTTTTTGTTAAGGAGAAAATAATTACTTTATTTCTACACGTTTTGAAGACGAAGAGGAAGAAGAAGAAGAAGAAAAGCTCCGAAAGCTTCGTCTAGCGCTATTGCCGATACGGGAGCTAAGTTGACGAGCATAAGCAGCTACGCGCTTCGCCCATCTTCGAATCTCTTCCTTCAGCTTGAACGAATCCATCTCTTCCAACGTCTTCTTCTTCTGCGTCTTTATCTCCATGAACGACAAGCACCGATCAAACCTCGTCACTTTTTGGTCATCGTTTCCATTGCCAGTTTTCTTCTCGACCCACGCCTTCATATCTCTTTTTAGCCCCACCCAATCTCTGAATTTGCCTTTTAATGGGATGCTTAATACGAATAAGCTCGTGGGTTTTGGTCAGAAGACGTGTAGCCATGCTTGGTCTTTCTTTGACTCGGTCTTTTGTTTTGCAATCCGCCAGTGGACTTTGTTTAACCACCTGTTTAAGTTTTTTGGCTTTGTATTCTTGGTACTTGACTTTTCTTCAAAATCATCTTGACTCCATATACGTATGTATAGTTACATATTAGAGTATACTCATTTCATGGAGGTCAAATATTGATTTCTACTTATCCTTGCGTGCTATGGATGAAACTTTCATCATGAAAGTGTTAAACATATGATCCTGTAATTGTGTGTAAGAGAACACAAGGATATGTTGTTCATCAGGTCAATTTTGGCATTCCGTAGAGTAAAACCATAGACTTGTTTAACAAAACAAAAATATCTCCAATGCAAAACAATGAAAACACGAAGAAACGATAACCTCAAAATCACTTCCTGGAAGCAGCCTGACGGGTCCTCTTCTTCGGACCACTCTTGGCAATCTTGATGCTCCTCTGAACAACGCTCAGCCTTGCGAGGGCTGCTTTCCTAAGGTCTGGTCTGTAATGGTTATCAGCCACCTGAGTACAAGACACCAGACATGTTTTATTCTCAACACCAAAAGCATTGACTGATCGTGTGTGTTTTTTTACAACCTCCGAATCTGGAAATGTGGATAAGTTGCTCAGAAGCCAAGCGTAACAAGTGAATTTCACCGAAGGACCCGAAAAGGGCTCTTCTTACATGTTATAGCTTCATCATAGCAACTATAAAGTTTTAAGGTTATGACAGTGTATAAGACATGGGTGGTTGAGAGTATTGACCAGATTATGTCAGTATAGATCAGGTTCTAGTGATGAGTTTCAGAAATCAAAATTCAATATACCATCACGTGTACTGTGTCCTACAATGGCTGAAGCTGGATGATATATAGATACAGCATAAGAATCAGCAAGCTATGAATGCAAGCAACCCCAGGGAGGAGATGCTCAGAAGCCAAGCGTAACAAGTGAATTTCACCGAAGGACCCGAAAAGGGCTCTTCTTACATGTTATAGCTTCATCATAGCAACTATAAAGTTCAAGGTTATGACAGTGTATATGACATGCTTGGTTAAGAGCCTTGACCAGATTATGCCAGTATAGATCAGGTTCTAGTGACGAGTTTCAGAAATCAAAATTCGCTATAGCATCACTCGCACTGTGTCCTACAATGGCTGAAACTGGATATATAGATACAGCATAAGAATCTGCAAGCTATGAATGCAAGTTATCCCAGGGAGAAGATGCTCAGAAGCCAAGCGTAACAAGTGAATTTCACCGAAGGACCAATAAAAGGGCACTTCTTACATGTTAAAGCTTCATCATCACAACTAAAAAAAAGCTCAAATTCTTGACCATGGCTCATGGGTCACATAGCACAATGCCGTAAAAACATTTATGTTGGTGTAAGAATTTTACCTGGTTAGTGACAGCTTTCGCCATCCGCTGGAATTCCTTCTTCATAACGGATTTGTTAAGAACAGAAGCTGGTTTGTTCTGTTTCTTAGTCTTGGTTGTAGCAAGCAACACCGAAGCATCTTTTCCCTCCGCTTGGATAGACACCGTCTTCGAGTTTGCCAGTCCTATCAAAACCAATATCCACGATTCATTTAAAACATAAGTAAAAATTATCTCCAAAATCAGAAAACCAGACAGCAACTCATACTGGATTATGTTGTTAAACAGCATCTGACAATACATCTTAGCAGGAACTGACACCATCTTTGGCATTTGACAATTCATCTCAGCTCAAGAGATTCAGACGACAAAACATTTTCCTTTACTGTTCCATGATCCGATCAGATACACACACTCAAAATGCCTACCACAATCTACACATTTCCCAAACGTTTCACCAAAAAAACCAACCAACAGCGAAAAACCCATCCAGAAGCAACGAATACAGACAATAGCATCTATGGACACATCTGTACCGAACTTGCAGATCATGTTTCCTTAAGGAGACCAGAAAAATAAAAGTACTACACAGAGCAAGAAACAGGTCGGATTTATTACCAGAGTGCTTGTAGGAGTTGAGATTGTAGAGATTGTTACTCTCCTTGCTGAACTGAACACCAGCAGTTCCCCTTCCAAATTGCTTCACCAGAAACGAGTTGTTCTTCTTCACCATCTCCCATATCAATGGTCCGGGAACAGTCGCCATCGCTGCCTTCCTTACACTGTTAAGGTAACAGATCAATAACCTGCGTAAAAAATGTGCGAAGCGAGAGAGAGAGAGAGAGAGAGAGAGAGAGAGAGAGAGAGAGAGAGAGAGAAAACCTTCTCTAGGGCTTCAACTCGCTTGCGAGGTTGACTGCAGAACGAAGGAGGCGGCTTTTATGTTAAAGATTGACTCTGAAACCCTAATTTTGTAGTCCGGCTGTTTATTTACGACTTTGCCCTTCATTTGTTCCTCGTCCCTTTTTGCACCTAATGTGCGGTGGAGGACTCGAAATCGAATCGCATCGTGTAAAAATTGGTTCAATTTTGTCTAAATTTGCTAACAATTGGGAAGAGGTGGAATAGTTCCAAATGATAGTTGAAAGTAAATACATATGAAATCAACTCTATGATATTACAAATTTAACAGATTTGGGTATTGAAGAGCATGACGACCTTTTCTCCAATCTCAATCAAACGATGGTTTGTGAAGGGAACGCCGAAAAACCATCAAATGAATCGGATCGAATCCCCAAATGCCCGACAGTTGTATGAAAGAACACATCAAGAAGAGAGGAGCAACAGTGCCATAATCTGAAACTTCTTGCAAATTTTACACCTCTTCTACTGCTACTGCTACTATATTTACATTACAATGCGTCTCTCTCTCTCTCTCTCCCTTCCTTTCTCTACAAAAGCTGTAACATTCTCAGCGTATTGTACACCAAAAAACCCACATTCCATCCCTCCTTATGCTTCCCAATCGTGGCCAAAGAAAAAAAAAACGAAGAAAGAACGGAAAAAAACGTTAGGACGGGCTTTCTCACGAGGAGGTGTTGGCTATGGAGGGCAATGGCCGATGGTGCAATTGCCTCGTCGAACCCTTCACTGCTTCATTGATCCTACTGAAAACTACCTTCAATGGAATACATGCCACTACTTGCTCCTTCGGCTTCTCTGCCATTACCTTCTTTCCTCTTTCCCCCGGTTTATGCCCAGTCAGTGCTGAGAGCCTTCTTGTCTTTTTAGACAGTGATGACGTCTTCTTCGACTTTGATGACGATTTACGTGTAGGAATATGTGGTTTCTTCTTCTTCTTCTTCTTCTTCACCGATTTCCTTTTGGATGATGATGATTTAGGCTTCACCAGCTGACCCATCACAGCATCATCCACCATGGGAACGTCATCAAAGGCCCTAATATTACTACTGGAGCCATCTCCCAACACTTCAACAGCTAGAGGGTTCCCAACGATGGCTTTACCATTCAGTTTACTCCTAAGAGAAACCATAGGAACATTCCGGGGCTTATAGTTGGCTTTTACCTCGATCTTTACTTCATAGTACAGAGCAGAATCTCTTCCCGTTTGATCCCGAGTCCTATAACGCGTGTTGAAATTGAAACGGGGTTGCCCTTCCTGACCAGAGACAGAACATTGAGGCAGAGAATCTTTTGTTTCATCAGTGTCTTCTTTTCTTCTTGGTTCTTGTTTTCTACTCATCTGTCTTGAATTCCTCTTCCCTTTTAACTGCCACTCGGAACTGCTCTTCTCAATACCGGGCAGGCAAGAACCAAAAACCGAAGAAAAACCTGGCAAGACAATCGGTGTTAGTTTCAGACTTTCAGTCACATTAAAGAAACCCGTCAAATCAGATCTCATAGATCAAACATTCAATCCGAACAGGTGAACTAAAAAAACTTAACAGAGGCAATATCCTAAACAGGTTGAACATCAGGAAAAACCTAAATGACAAACTGCTCACAGTTCTTAATTCGAAACAGATCCAAATCCAAACCCATTACACCGCTAAGAAAAGTTACCAAATCCATCATCACGTCTACTCTCCCAGAAAAATTTATCCATAGAAAGTTGCAAGTTTTTCAGTCATGTAAGCAAATCGGATCCATCACGCAACAAGTCAGCTTGATGACTGTTAAGCTTTTCTATCTATTTACTTCCTTGAAGTGGAGACATGCATACTTTTGCAACTAAAGTAACAGAGACATGTAGCTATTGAAAAAGTTCAACCCATTAATACCTGCAGACTGTTTCTCCTCTCCGATAAGTGGAACATCAAATAATCTGTCGGAAGAG